CCGTCTCCCCCCTTGCGCTTCGCTCTCGCCTTGGCCTTCGCCACTCTCTTCTGGAAAGGCGCCACGGCTCTCCTCGCCCATTGCTTCGATAGCCGCCAGCTCCTCATTCGCCGCTAGGTCCTCCTGGTTCCGGTGTAGAAACTCTTGCACTCGTTCAATAGTCCACTTGGGCCACTGACGTTCGATCAGGGTCATGCTGTCTCCTGCCTTGACGTTTCCTTCTTTCAAGACGCGATAGTACCAGCCCGTACGACTCGATCGAAACGTCTTAGGCGCAAAGTTTTTGAGTTGGAAGCGATGGTTAAGCTTGAAGCATGGCTGGCGTGGGAGGCTGACTTGCAGTACGACAGAGTCGCCCACGGCCCATTTGTCTCCGATGCAGACATTGCGCTCATTCAAGTGGCGCGTGACGAGGTTCTCGCCGAAGCCCCCGGGGCGGAAACGACCTGCAGCGGATGGGTACTCACGCTGCCAACCCAGATAGTGGGAACTGCAGTCTGTAGGGTCAAGTCAGCATCTGTCTCACCTCCCCCAAGGTGACGACCTGCAAGATGCCAGTCCACTTACACCCATGGACAGCCTTGTCCACCCCACCATGAAAGGTTGGATCATGCTCATCACCGTCGAGACCTAAGCGGGTCACACGCACAGAGTTGGTGCACATACACTTGTCGATTCCGCTTTCAATCTGGAGCCCCGGCATCTTTTTCATTTTACTCGTTCTTACTTCGAGGATCGTATCGGTCGTGCATTCTGACCATAAGTCAATATCCTTGCTATCCTGTGTCGTCATGGTCGGCTGACGTCGGTAGTCTTCTGATTTGTCTTGAGATATTTCTCGTCTCTTGGTCTACGTGGCAGCTTGCTGAGACAGCACCAAGAGTCAACTTGAGCCAGGTATGGTGTTGCAGGAGGGAGGCGCCAGGCTGTACTGATTCTCGAGCGTCGCTGGCTGATGACGATTCGCGCCGCAAGTAAACCCTTTTGCGGAGGTCATGATTGGGCGCGAACGGCATTGAACAGTGGGGAACCACCTCAGCATCCGTGGCAGCGTAAAGGCACCTAGCCTAGCCAACCAATTCAATACAGCACACCCTTCAGATCAAGCATGATTGCCTTCCTCCTCGTCTACGAAACGGTGAGTATCTGACACATGATACAAGAAGTAGCTGGAAACTTTTGATGGTCCCAAGGACACAGAACACGCCGGTTTAAATTTTGGCCCCCAAATCGACCCCGCATCTTAAAGATGCTCAAGGCACGCCCTCTGTCTGACCGGTGTGGTGACGCCTGTTCCTTGAGCCTCAACACAGCCTGAACAAGTCATTCCGGAGCAGGCTGTGGCTTTCAAAATGCGGGCGTGCTCTGTCGCGATGGTCAATCCGACTGGTTATTTGGTTCCCCCCTCCATCACCAGTGGCTTGAAGAGGCAACGAACAAGGGTGTTGCTGTGGAGAGGAATATGAATGGCAGAACCTTGAACCTGTATTGATAGAGGTGGGACAGGTAATGCATCCGGAACAGCCAGGGCCCCAAACGACGTGTTGTGAGGCTCACCTTTCTTCACAGATTCCCTTCATTGGACCCTTCCTACTCCTATCCATGACCCCGCTTTCCCTAAACAACCTGACACTCCTGTAATCGTGGTCACAAACTTGCTCGGGGTAAGTCTATCCAGTAATTCCTTGTACCTGCATCCCTGCCAGGATGCAATACATTACGATGTCCTCGCCGGCAAGCCCCTACGGATCGATTCCCATTGGATCGGTGGCTGACGGCCTGCAGGTAGTATCACATCGCATCTAGGCTCCATGCGTTGTTCACTTGTCATGAAAAGCAAGCTTTCCCTGCTATGGTTGAGCAGAGCCGCATCCCGTATAAATCAATGGGGCGATGCTCAGGAAATGGATGGGTGGAACATGACTTGGGCGACGGTGCCTTGGATAACTACTCTAGTAATTAGGCCGTGGGTTCCTCTTGCCCACAGAGTATAACGAGGGCACTTTGCATTGTGGTCGCTCCCTCACCGCAAGCTTTTGAACGCGCGGGCCTGCATCATTCTATCCTTCATCGAACTCCCATCTGCGAATCCCCGACGACAAGACATGTACCGGTATCAACCGTTCCAGGGATGATATAGAGCATCTTTCACTGCATTCATTGGATAGCCTCGCCGTTCACATCCGCCAGCATACGCGCCCTCTTATCAAACCCCGACTCTGTGACGTTGACAACAAAGTGCTTCAATGGCAAGGCTTGATCGGCTTCCTTTCGAGGTTCTGGCCATCATAGCCGGCAATCTTGCACCCCGGGACATACACAGTACGAGTCTGACTTGTCATCGTCTGCACTGGGCTCTTATGCATAACGATCATATCGCCAAAAAGACACTCCAGGCAAGTAGACCCGCGCAAGTAATCGACGGGTGTCCGGCTGACCGATTTTCCTAGATATATGCTCCGTTCTCATTGGAACTCAAAGATGCCTCCTCACGAATTTTCCATGGCTCATACGCTCACGGCTTGCAACGCTTCGTCAAGCGGCAATTGGCCGTGACGACCGCCAATCCCTTCTTTGCCGGCGTTGTTGCCATGGCAGATACCTTTGTCTACTCCAATGGCATGCTTTGCTATACGTCACATGACCGAGGAACGCTGATGCCGGATACTTTGCGGCTTCTCGACTTGCGCCAACCTTCGTCAGCTGAGATAATCATCCATCTGAAACTCATTAGATTTGTGGGAAGCGATTGGAACTTGAAGCCCCTAGTTGAGCCAATCTATTACGCAGACGGTCTCGTGTCGTGCATCTTTGCACCCGCCAGCAGGTCCCGAACGAAACAGAACACACACAGCGCACTCTTCGTGTTTCGTCCTGCCAGCAATCAACTGGTTTTGACATATCCGTTGGCGCGTCCTGGGCAACAAGACTTTTGCTTTGTCCGCAACACCAGCGAGCAAGTATGGGTAGGAGAATGGGAAAACGTCGCCGATGGCCGCGGTTGTCTTGTTCTGCAGTTATACGACATACCCAACCGCACCTGGAAACTGCCACAAGTTCGGACGCCAGCACCGGTAGGGGATGAGCTGGGTAAGACTGTGTGTGTGGAAATCATTGGAAACTACATGTACGTCGTTTCCAACTCGGCGACCTCGAATGCCAACCAAGCTCGCGATGCAGACTGGATGTCGCATTACTATGCATTTAGGTTCCCCCTGGCAGCGCCCGAGAAACTCGAGGTTGCCCCCAAGGAAGGCCTCTGGCGCAGAAATCACAAGGAGGGGCCGATTCATGACACGACCATTAGTCTGGAGACCGACACGCACACCGGCAGGTTGGTCATTGTCGAGGTCCGGACAGAAAGCCCAGAGGCTGTTTGGCCTCCAGTGACCACATCCTATAAGACCTTTCTCGACTTTGCCCCTGCTGCCTGCAACAATTCACCAGTTGCTTCCAAGGAGCAGGCCTGGGGCTTCCGCGAAGCCTCACTCGTTCACACACTCGAAACCTCTCAGCGATACAGTTCATATAGACCATACATCCGCTCATACCATCAAGACAGCGAGAGCTTTCTGGAAGTCTTTCCATGTTATGCCACTGTTTCAGGCGGCGAGATGAGCTCTCCAACTCAGCCCTGGCTCCGACTGCGATCTGTTGCGAAGAGCAGTGACGCCATGCCGGCCGCATTCTGGCCCGTTAGATCCACACCAAATCTTTACACGGAGTCTAATCCATATTTTGACCTCAACTCACGTTACCCTGGACGTTTTCAGGTACAGGGAACAGCGGACGAAAGATCCATCGTATACGCCTTGGGGGAACGAGGTCCTAATGTACTGAGACCAGTTGTTCTACTATCCTTCGACCCTGGCTACAGACACAGGCGTAGGTAGAAGACGAACAAGTGTAGCGTCGCGCACAGAATCAGAGCATTGTTTAGGCCCCGGCGCCATGAAGTAGCGAATAATAAATGTGGAAAAGTATCTAAGCTTTCGTGCCTCGCGTTACGCCATAGACGCTTAGCAAAGTTGACACATTGGAGCCACAGGCTGCTGGGCGCTGTCCTTATAAGGTTGGTTAGTTATACATGGATTGGGCAGCGGCATACATATTGCACTCGTGACATGAAGGGGGCTATTCAAAGCCAAGGAAACATTCAACCATCACCCCCCTCCCTCCAGAGAAGGCTGGCACGCCATTGATAATGGAGGCGCATTCACGGCTGTCGGCTCGTGTACCTCCGGGTGCAATAACAAATTAATTTCCAATGCAATTTCAATGACCACCCTTCACAAAAGTCATACATTCACAGCTGACGCCATGTCCATGCATGTTGTGGCGAAGAATATAAATCCACTAGATTATATGTGTCGGGCAGGCGCCGAGGCTACATCCCACAACACCACATCTCCGTCTCTACTCCCTTCAACTAAGCAACGCCTGCTCTCCCTCAATACAAGAAGATGGAATCCGAAACAAACAAGACAGCCTACCCGTCATAACGTCTTTTGTTTAATCTCTGAGTCTTCGGAGCAACAATGCAAGCCCGGACTCGGTCCCACCCCGGCCGGGTCGAATCCGCTGTTCCCCTTTCTGCATGCGCCAAGTGTCCCATATGCAATCCATCCCTCAAGTTCCTTCAGCTCTCGTACTACACCTCGTCTTCCTCTGTAAGAGGGACACAGATGAGGCCTTTTTTTACTTTATCCTCAAGCTCGAAGTATGTGTCTGCTCCTGAGTCATGTTTGTGTGGCCTCGCGACAATGTCGTATTAGCTGCTTGTCTGCACGTAATTGCCTGTAGCGCAATAAATCAGCATTGAGTGAATCGACAGAGCAGGAGAGGACATCATGGGTGACAAACCTGGGAATTGGCCTTGCTTTCCATTCAACTTGCCGGTCCACCACTCATTTTCGTTCTTCGTACGGGTGATGATCTCTATGACATCGCCGGCTCGGAAGCTCAGGTCACCCTCGGCCTGAGCATCGTAGTCGTACAAAGCCGTCACGGTCTCTGCTACAGGCACGGCACTGAAACGGCTCGGCTTCGGCTTCGGTGGAGGAGGCTTGCCCTTCGCTGCCGCCATGGCCTGCAGGCCGGGGCTGCCGGGAGAGTACGGCGGAGGTGGTTGCGACTCGCTGTCTGCTGATGCTTGGCCGGTAGGGGTGTAGCCTATGCGCGCGAGGGGCTTCGAGGTGGTCGGGACAGAGGGGCTGGAGCTCGAAGGGCCGGCAGTCAGGAGGCCCTGAGCTCGAGGGCCCTCCAATGCGGGACGGCCGTATTTCGGCGGCCGCCTCTGTCCAGTGGTCTTAAATTTGACAATAGAGAGAGCTTCGGCTTGCTCCTGGATGTCGCCTCGCTTGGCGTGAAAGGCCTCCTCAATGTCCCGGGTGAGGTCGAAGTAGCCAATGTCGCAGCTTTGCATCTTCTCGTGCAGAGTATAGAAGACATTGAGTTGCATGTAGTAAAAGGACTGAAATAGTGGCTGGATGAACTCGCGCTCGAGTGCAAAGAGCTTCGGCAGCTCCTCCTTGAGCAGATCATTGAAGTAGTTGAACTCCTGGGTGGCTGTCTCGGTGTCGCCTTCGGCTTTCCACAAAGCCTTCTCGTCCTTGGCACTGCGTTCCTTTTTATCTTGCAACTTCTTGAGGGTGGTGCGATGCCGGTCGTAGTCGATCCTCTTGTGGTCGCGCTTAGTTGCAGTCTTGCGAATGGCCTTGATAACGTCGAGCAACTCGGTCGCAGGGCGGATAACTCTCGTCTCGATCATATCAAGCTCCGGCGCCAGGGTGTCCTGCAAGTCCTTGACGACGAGCTCATACTCTTCGCAAGCGCGGATGCCCTCGGGATTGCCCTCAATCTTCAGGGTGTCTGGGTCGGACATGCGACCAGAAATGGGTTTGTAGACCTCGGTCATGGCCTTGCTGAATTCGATCTGGTGGTTGAGCATGCCGTTGATGGCGTCGAAGTACTTCTTTGATTCATCATGAAGCTTCTTGGTCTCGGTCTCGAGCTCCTGGAACCTGCGCTCTGAATCACTGTAGACGGCGTCTTTGGTCTGCTCGCCAATATTGAAGCGAGACTTGAACGTTTGCGGCGCCTGGAGGACAAAGAAGAGATACCAGGTCAGTCAAAATGCTCGTACGTAGATCACCGACACACAACCTGTCGCGACACGACAAGCTGGGACATGGGACTGGGCTGGTGCCCCTCAATTTGTGGGGGAGAGATGGTACCCTAACGACGCTCTTCTGGAAGCCGCGAAAGCTCATGCTGGGGTTCGAACGGATGGGCCGGAATGCTCGGTAGGAGGAGGGGGAGGGCGGTCGGTAGGGCTGTTGTTCTAAAGGGTGTTTGTACGAGGGTTTGGCAGGATGCACAGCTGTAGTGAGGGCATTCCAACCTTATGAGGAATGGGAACACTTGGATGGGTGCAGGCGCAAGGCGGCCTCTGGCTTAGGCCTGATTTGGTGACGCTGGTGCTGTGCCGGTGACGACTGAGTCGTGGCTGTGTCCACAGTCAATCAGCTCCAACTGTCCCGCGGCCGGCTTGGCTTGTGGCGCGTGCGATCACAGACGCATCGGGGGACGCGTTGACACCCCAAGGTTACCTTACTGCCTCGCTAGGTACTTCCAGCGTGGGAGTCTGGTACGACGGAAGACGTGGATTACACAAAGCCAATTTGGACCTCCTACTTCTGCAGTTTTACGAGACTATAATACAAAGACAACTGCAGGAACGGCTTTTTATCGAGCATGTTTTCAGGAAAGGAGGTCCTGCAGCGCATTTTCGCGACGCCCCCCTCACAAAGCTTCTAAGCCTATCCGTCTCACTCGGATGCGTTCTCAAATCATAACGTCATCAGACGGGCTTTGCCAAGCGGCACCAGGCAGCCAGAGTGGCAGCCAATCACCGAACACCAGATTTATCCCCGAGCAAGAGACGGACGCCGACGGGCAAAACTCGCGAATTGCAAAAAATACCAGGGCGATTGGATAAGAGCATGAAATGATGGAGAAAGCTAGGGTGGGTCATTCGCCTCCGATTTGCCGCATCACCAGTCAGAAGTGCTGACATATCTTTTTTTCTCGGGCCTCCTCATCTCCCTCACAAAACCTTCCTCCCCTCCTCCTTCTGGCCTTCTATTCCCTCCGCATGCCATCACCATCATATCATCATGGCTAGCATCTCAACATCAGCGCTGAGGCAGGCAGGCCGCCTCTGCCGTACTACAGCTGCCTCTCCCCTTAGGAGGCTACCCACCGCGCCGAGGATCATCGCGGGACCCATCCAGCAGTTCACGCAGCGACGGAACGTTTCCGAGACGAGGCAGGACCACGCACAGGTCAATGTCGATACCGCTATCAAGCTGGACAAGAAGGATTTCATCGACCAGTCTCCCGATGGCTCCAACGTTGTGGTGAGTCCAATGGCCGAAGTGCTCAAGCAGGTCACGACCATGGAGGAAGGCCAGAGGCCCATCTACCTCGACATGCAAGCGACTACGCCCGTTGACCCGCGAGTGCTTTGACGCCATGCTTCCTTTCTACACCGGCATATACGGCAACCCCCATTCCAAGACGCACGCTTACGGATGGGAGAGCGAGTCCGCTGTCGAGGAAGCTCGCGAGCATATTGCGAAGCTTATTGGTGCCGACTCCAAGGAAATCATCTTCACGAGTGGTGCCACCGAGAGCAATAACATGAGCATCAAAGGTGTTGCGCGATTCTTCGGGAGGTCCGGCAAGAAGAAGCACATCATCACTACCCAGACCGAACACAAGTGCGTGCTCGACAGCTGTCGGCATCTCCAGGACGAGGGTTTCGAGATCACCTACCTGCCCGTAAACAACTCCGGCCTTATCGATTTGGCTCAGCTCGAGGCCGCTATCAAGCCTGAGACTGCCCTTGTGAGCATCATGACCGTGAACAACGAGATTGGTGTGATCCAGCCCATGGAGGAAATTGGCAAGCTGTGCCGCAAGAACAAGGTCTTTTTCCACACGGATGCCGCACAGGCCGTTGGCAAGATGCCTCTTGACGTGAACGCGATGAACATCGATCTCATGTCGATCTCGTCCCACAAGATCTATGGCCCCAAGGGAATTGGTGCCTGCTATGTTAGGCGACGCCCTCGTGTCAGATTGGATCCCATCATTACCGGAGGTGGTCAAGAACGTGGCCTACGCAGCGGCACGCTCGCGCCTCCGCTGATCGTCGGCTTTGGTGAGGCGTGCCGCATCGCGTACGAGGAGATGGAGGTACGTGTCACATTTCTCTCTTTTTTGCCGATCTTCGCGTTGCCCCATTATGATGATGTTGCTCTTATACATGCATGGCTTTCTGAAGTCCCGTGACAAGGACAATTGTTGTGACACAGCATCCCGTCTGAATATTATACATTCGCACCCATTTCCATCAATCACGTTTAGTTTTTGTGGAATTTTGGACTGACTCCCAATAGTACGATTCGAAGCGCATCAAGGCACTGTCCGATCGGCTCCTCGGCGGTCTCCTCTCTATGGAGCACACGAACCAGAACGGCGACCCGAACCATTTCTATCCCGGCTGCGTCAACGTGTCTTTCGCCTACGTCGAGGGCGAGTCGCTGCTCATGGCGCTGAAGGATATTGCTCTGTCGTCCGGCAGTGCTTGCACCTCGGCTTCTCTGGAGCCTAGCTACGTTTTGCGGGCCCTGGGTAACAGCGATGAGAGTGCGCACAGCAGTATCCGATTCGGCATTGGCCGCTTCACCACCGAAGCGGAGATTGACTACGTTCTGAAGGCCGTCCAGGAGCGTGTCGATTTCCTCCGTGAGCTGAGTCCTCTGTGGGAGCTTGTCCAGGACGGTGTCGACCTCAGCACGATCCAATGGAGCCAGCACTAATTTGCAAGACCTATGTGATCGTCTTGGCTGTACGAGAGGAAATGGGTTTTAACTAGCGGGTTCCTCGTTTAGGGGCCACCCTTGTGGATTTTAGTTTCTGTAATACCACCAGGCGAGGATGATTGAGCGAGGCCTGTCACTAGGCCAGTCATTCTTTCTTTACGGGAATCTCGGAGTTTGGCTTAGGAGGTGGGGAGAGGAGCGGGCATAAAGTGCTTCCAGTATCAGAGGCCTCCTGTCGATAGGGACAAATATGGGCTCACATGGCACAAGAGGAAGCCAGTTGGTGTATCACGACTAGTGGGAAGCCTGATGACGTTGGCTGAAGAATTCACACCAAACAATGAACACATCTGAAACACAACTGTCAAAGCATTGCGTGCTTGCCTGGATCGTCTGCGTGTGCCGTTTACCTCGTGGAATTATTATCCTCAGCCAAGGGACGGAATTGGCCCGGTCGAAGCTAAGCAGTCGGTACCTGGTGCAGGGTGGCAGAATTCGCAGTCGATACCCTTCGAGCGATACGCCTGCTACGCGGGTAGCTTGGGAAGGCTCTGTGCAGCCTTGACGGCAGCCCTGGGGCTTGATTGGGAACATGCTGCTTCCCAGCAGAGACGTGCGGCATCTCACACGCATGGTCCTAACTAGACAGGACACGTTCCCAACAATGCTTCAGGACGTGTGGCAGCAGAACAGGAGCAAGGCCGAAAGATCACAAGGGCCGATTACGTCGAAGACAGTTGGGTTTCGCCATTGTGTAACACAGCTCCATAATCGTGTGGTTCATTGGAGGGTTCCGCGAACGTGCTGGCCTACGACACGTGGGCCAGGAGAGAGGGGGTCGTGTGGTCGTTGCTGGACAAGGATAGAGCTAGAACATGACATCATAGAACTACAGCCCCTCCTTCCACCCTCCACCTCAAACCCGGTCCTAGGCCGACGCCCTCTTCTTGATGGATAGGGGAGGTGCAGGGCTACCCCGAATGACATCACAGGCCGAATCATACGGAAAGACAGACGGAAACTGCATCGTGAGGCTTGGAAGACGCGATATACTTGCTGGCGCGTTGGCCTAAACAGCAGCCGCGGCCCTAGTATATAAGGAAGATGTTTTCCCGCCAGAACGGAGAATCATCCCACTTCCTCGTCACCCACACAATATCCACAAAGAAAACATCTTCATCATACCCACCACCTTAAACGACAACTTTCTATAGCTACCGAAAGTCACCACAAGCAAATATGTCTGCCAACGACAACACGTCTACCCTCAAGTCTTACCTCGACTCGGCTACTGGCGCGGCCCAGAACCTTGTCGGTAGCATCACGGGCAACACAGCCGACCAGAACAAGGGCGAGGCCAAGCAGCAGAAGGCCGACGCCGAGTACAGCGCCTCGCACGCCACAGCCAAGCTCCCTGGCTTCAGCGCGTCCTCTTCCGGCGCCGTCACCAAGGACGACCCCGATCGCGCTGCCGGCTCCTGGAACCAGACTGTGGGCTCGGCCAAGGAGGCCGTCGGTGGTCTCGTTGGCTCCCAGAACCTCAAGGAACAAGGCCGTCAGCAGAACCTCGAGGGCCAGCAGCAGGAGGCGAAGGGTCAGGTCAATGACTTTGCGTCTGGCGTCGGCAACCGTCTCCAAGGCTCTATTGGAGGTGCCGTCGCTGGCCTGACGGGTGACAAGAGCGGCCAGCAGCACTACCAGGACCTTCACGACACGGGCAAGACGCAGCAGCGCGGAGCCGAGCATGACATCCAGAAGCAAGCCGAGGCAAAGCAGTAAGGGTTGACACGGAGGCAGGCGCGTGGTGACGAGGAGAATGGACGCGAGCGAAACACCTAGAGTCGACAGACACTTGATACCCCGGACAAGGCATGGAGGCGGCAGCTAAAGTATTATAATATGAACACCTCAGTTTCCCTATACCATTGCTTGACTCTGTTCTGGGAGTTGTGTGGTGCTACCATGGATCGTTGATGTATGGTCTTATTGGGCAAAGTGTTACTCAATGTGACAGTTGGTAAAGCCAGGCAGGAGAAGCTTGCTCAGTGGGGTTTCAGCATGGCGCATGTGAGACGGGTCTAGATCACTAAATGCCCTGCGTACGCCGCGAAGCAAGGGCAGCCAACCCACTACGTCGTCGGGCGCATGTTGGCCTGCAGGCTGCATTGCCCCCCAACCCATGTGGCCAATGCCCAGTGGACGCTTTGTTGGGAAACACGGCGGTCGCCTGGTCTCCTGGTGCGCTGGAAGTTCTCCCCCATCTGCAAGACCTGCTATCCTGCCATCAGCCCTCATCACTCCTGCCAGAGGCAGGCCTCAACCTTCAGATGACACCGATCGCCTGCTCTCCACTTGTGTGCCGAACGATGGAATCCCATCCAAATCGAGTCGGCGGGGTCGCTTGGTCTAGCACATGATATACGACTCTCGACAACCCTCTCGCGCCCTACCTTACCCTCAACCCAAACATCTCGCGGTCCTGGCCCACTGCAGACCCCGCACGCTTGCTTCCCAGCCTCCCGCCTGTGCTCTTTCGCCCAGTAGCCAGCAGCGCTTCTCCTGCATCTACAGGGGGACACTGAGCCCACGGTTTGACCGCCGTTGCAGCAGCATGAACGGAGAAGCACTCGCTAACGCAGGCCAGACAGGCCAGACAAGCATCCTTGCGCCGGCGCGGGGCGAAAGGAGGGAGGGGTGGCGCCTGTGAATGCTGTGAGGGAAGGACGGACTGGACCTGATGGGGCGGCAGCAGGTCGTTCAACCCTCGCCATCCTCCCACTCGCAACCGAGGGTCGCACACCACCTCGAACCTCGCGGTCGCGCACTTCCTCGTCATCGTTGTCGCCTCTTCCACACCACATTCTCTGCCATCTCCCTCGTACTGCCACATCTGTCCTGACCGTCCCAATTGCTCCCACTGCTCCCCGACTCACCCGGATCGCTCTCTTGAATACCGTCTCTATGCTCTCAACATGGAAGAACTCGCGGCGGCCCCCCAGCAGTGGACCATCATACTCGCGTTGACCGCCCTTTGTCTGTCTCTCGTCGTCCTCGGCCAGCTCCTGGCCTCGCATGCTGCCGCCTACCTGGCAGCACCCCGCGAAGCTGCCCTCCTCCTCGACGCCCTCGATGCCTCCATAGAAGAGAACGAAAGCTATGACCGCGACCTGACCAAGGTGCCCCGCCTTGAGGATAAAATCCGACTCGTCCGCCTCTTGCGCGACATCCAGCGAGCCGGCGATGATCTGCGCGAGGCCTTGTGCGCGCTGTTCGTAACGAGCGGTTTCGATGGGGACGAAAATGACGAGCTGGCCAGCTTCAACACAACTACAACACTGAAAGCGAGCGCGAGGGTCCTGTGGGCTGTCACGCGACGCGATCTCGAGGAGCGCAATCGCAGGCTGGACATGCTACGCATGCGCTTTCTTGTAGTCTACCTCGGCATCGTAGCGGAGCGGGCGCCTCCAGCAGTTGAGAAGCAGTCGTCGCCAAAGGCGAAGGAGAGGAGGCAGGAGAGGGAGTCGGAGAAACTTGGCACTGCTGCCGTCGCAGCCTCCAAGATCCCCCCAGCGCCCACCATGGCCCCAACGCCGGCGATGCTTCTCTCACGAGCACTAAATGAGGAGATTAAGAGAAAGCCACCGCTGCGGAGGCTGACAACGCAGGCCATCGGGCATTCATCCAACGCAAGACCTAGCCACCGTACCGGGTGGGCTGGGGTCGTTGAGGAACTGCAGAGGAGCCCAAAGCTGCAGGCGAGACACGCTTTTATCGAGAGATCGATTGAGCAGGAACTCGCATTAAGCAAGCTGCCGTGACTGGTAGTGTAACATTCAACTACTCAACGAGATGACCACATGTAGAGACATGAGGATCAGCGGCACACCAGCCCATTCACGACGTACTGATGATTCTGAAAAGGAGCGACGGAGGTAGCGCGGAGCTCACGGCCGCCAGTCGACACCCTAACAAGTATATGGGATATGAGAGCACAAGAGGTGCGACGCGAGGAATGGCGAGACACCTGACGAGTTTCCTTTACAATCTTGACACAACACTTCACTTAGAGTAGATACCCCCTTTTCCACAGCATTGGTCCCTTTCGATTCGGCCCTGTCGTCCGCTTCACAACACCTTTTCCCTTTATGGCTGCTTGTGCTTTTCTTTCATGCGGCGTTTCTGTCTCATGTGGTCATCCAGAAAACTCCTTTCAGTGAGCAGCCGGCGCATCAGGGCCTGTGACATTTCTTTCGCCGACTGTGTATCCCAGGTAGTTAGCAAGTTGCGCCAGACAATAGAAAACCGCCTTGACACGTACCATCCAGCGCCACAAGGAATCTGCTCACACAATTGTAGCAAGCAACCTATCAGTATCGTTAACAGCCGTTTCCCGGGACTCTCCTCGCATGACTGGCAGAAGAGGACCTACCGTTGCCACAAGCTCGACAACCTCCCTCTCACCGAACAAGCCCTTGACCTTGGCAAATGTTTCGTCAGAGACCTGTACGTTCCTCGTCATTTCATCCGCCAGCAGCAGCGCGGCCCACTGCGCGTCCCCGAACAGCCCGGTCCCCTCAGCCGCAACGCTCGGCTCGGCCAGGTCTCCGGCCTGGCCCTTGAGCCAATCCATGGCGGCCTGCGGGACGCCGGCGCCGACGGCGAGGGGTGCGTGGTGCATCCACTCGTACCAGGCGCGGTTGACGACGGCGACGCGGGAAATGGCGAGCTCGCGCAGGTCGGCGGGGACGATGGTCTGCGTGCGCACGGCGCCGAGGAAGGAGTTCCAGCCGTCGGCGACGGGGGGGCTGTGGAGGAGGGTCAGGTCGAGGGGCTGCAGGGGGCGCGGAGCGCGGCGCGCGGTGATGCGCGAGACGATGGCCTCTTCGGCGGGGTCCGCTGGCTGTGGCGGGTTGGGGGTGTAGGGCAGGCGCATTGTCGCGTTTGTGCAGACGATGATGGTGGACTGTGGGGCTTGCTTGTGAGTAAGGGGTTCGCCGAAAGCGTTTCACAAGTCGCTGCGCATGTGTGTGTGAGTGAGAGAGAGACTTGTATTGATTAGGAGAAGCAGGAGCTGTGCATGAAGAGACATTCTAGAGCTGGTAAATATGTAGTGAAAGCCGAAGCCTCGGGAAATACCCACGGCAGTCCGACCGGTCCACTTCCCGAGAATCGGCGCCCGAAGCCGGGTAAGTGCTATTCCGGCGTTCCGATGGTCCTGATGTTCATGCAGAGGTAGTGAGTGACCTGAGTGGCATAGTTGTGAGTCTCAAAAATACTGTTGCGGGTCTCCGAGATTACACGAAGATGCCAGTCGTGCTCAATCAGGAGGAGAGAGCACTCCCGAGATACCTACTGGAGCAGGCAGGATGGGTTCCAAACCAACCATACCGAACCTTCGCCGACCAGACTTGTCCGCACAGTAGCTACCTCGCCCTACCTTGTGTGTCGGTGGGAAAGGGAAATATTTATACCGACCAAAGAGAGCCTCTAAGGACGTTAGTAAAGACTCGGTGCCCACCAGTCGCGAAACTGATTTGTTCTTCTTTCCAGGGTTGCTAAGTTCAACACCATCTGAAGAGTGATTCCGTTGAAGGACACACCACAGAGGACTAGGACCACAGGGAGTCATCGACAATTCGTTGTCCGTGCGAGAGGCCTATCCTCCGTAGGAATTCTAATCACGTGACCTCTCAATTAACGCGCGACCCCATTATTTTTCGCGTCACTGGGGACACGGCAGGTAGCAGGAGACGTGCAACGGCTACCAAGCAAGCCTGGTCCTCGCCCACCCACGCCAACCCCAAACCCAGGGCCGTCGGTCTCGTCCTTCACCACGTCCCTTCGACTTGCTTTGCCGGCATCCGCAACCATGGCCGACATCAAGATCGACACCAAGGTATTCCAGGAGCGCATCACCCATCTTGCGACTGCCTGGAAGAACGACCAGCGCGGCAGCAATGGCATCTTCAACGGCGCCACATCCATGCTCGTCATGATGGGCAAGGTTGAGGAGGTTCCTGAGCTGCACAAGAACAATGCCATGCACGTGAGTCAACCCACCGCGCAAAGTCCCTTCAACATCTTCGTCGCGATCAAAAGACTAATGTCTGGTCTAGTTTTGGCTCCTCGGCTACGAGTTTCCGACGACTTTGATGCTCCTGACCGTCGATACAATTTACATTGTCACGACTGCGAAAAAGGGTGAGCCTGCGCTCTGCTGCCTAAACCGCACTGCGCGACTTGCTAACATCTCCAGCCAAGCACCTTGAGCCCCTCAAAGGCGGTCGTTTCCCTCTCGAGATCCTCGTGCGAGGCAAGGATGCCGCTGAGAACCAAAAGATCTTTGTCAAGATCGCCGACACGATAAAGGCAGCAGGCGTAAGTTGCCAACAGCCAGGAATCGGCTTCGCCACGTGGTGGTACTCTACTGACAGCATTTGCCTATACAGAACAAAGTTGGCATCATCGCGAAGGATACCTCGAAGGGCCCCTTTGTCGACGAATGGAAGAAAGTCTTCGCCGAAAACTGCAAGGATGTGGAGGAAACCGACATTTCCCCAGCGCTTTCCCAGATCGCCTTCTCCGTCAAGGACGAGTCGGAGTTACGCGCCATGCGCACCGCCTCCAAGGCTTGCGTCGGTCTCATGACGCCTTACTTCCTCGACGAAATCACCGATATCGTGGACGGCGACAAGAAGGTCAAGCACAGTGCCCTCACCGATCGCGTAGACAAGAAGCTGGACGACGCAAAGTTCTGGCAGAATCTCGAGCTGCCCAACTCGACGAAGCTTCCTTCGGATATGGATACCTCGCAACTCGACTGGGTCATGGGACCCACGGTCCAGAGCGGTGGCAAGTTTGATCTGAGGATGGGTGTCGAGAGCAACGACGACCCCTTGCATCCGGGCATTATCATTGCCAACATGGGTCTGCGATATAAATCCTACTGCTCCGCCATTGCCCGAACTTACCTCATGGACCCCAACAAGGCGCAGGAGAGCACCTACAAGCTTGTGCTCAACATTCACAACATGATCATCAAGGAGATCCGCGATGGCGTTGTTGCCAAGGAGGTGTACAACAAGGCTCTAGCTATGATCAAGTCGAAGAAACCCGAGTTGGAGAAGCATTTCCTGAAAAACGTGGGCTACGGTATTGGTCTGGAGAACAGGGATCCAACCCTCCTCCTGAGCGCCAAGAACTCCAGAGTTCTGAAGGACGGCATGACCCTAGTTGTCACCACCGGTTTCAGCGACATTGAGAATCCTCAGCCCCAGGACAAGAACAGCAAGACGTACTCAATGGTCATCACGGACACAATCCGCGTTACCTCGAGCGAGGCTGTCGTGTTTACTGGCGAGTCGCCCACCACGGCCGATGCGTGCTCTTTCTTCTTTGAAGGCGAGGAGGAGACGGCCCCGACTCCCAAGAAAGAGAAGAAGGATGGCCGCGTTGGTGCTGTTGCTACCAAGAATATCACCTCGACCAGACTACGATCAGAACGCAACGCTCAGCCTGACGATGACGCGGACCAAAAGCGCCGTGAGCACCAGAAAGAGCTCGCTTCAAAGAAGCAGAAGGAAGGCCTGGCGCGGTTCTCCGAGTCAACGGCTGGCCAAAACGGTACTGAGATCAAGAAATTCAAGCGTTTTGAGTCATACAAGCGGGACAACCAACTTCCCCCCAAGGTAAGGGACTTGTCCATCGTCGTCGACGCAAAAATGGGCACGATCATTCTCCCTGTCATGGGTCGGCCCGTGCCTTTCCACATCAACACGATCAAGAATGCAAGCAAGAGTGACGAAGGAGACTGGTCGTTCTTGCGTGTCAATTTCCTGTCGCCCGGCCAGGGTGTTGGTCGCAAAGACGATCAGCCATTCGAGGATGCCACAGCCCACTTCGTCAGGAGCTTGACATTCCGTTCCACGGACGGCGACCGCTACCAAGAGATTGCCACGCAGATTTCGAATATGAAGCGTGACAGCAACAAGAAGGAACAGGAGAAGAAGGAGCTCGAGGACGTTGTCGAGCAGGACAAGCTCGTCGAGATAAGGAGTAAGTGAAATCTTGAACATGAACAAGAACACAGCCAAGCTGACATGATGGAGACCGCCGCCCGGCTGTTCTTGACAACGTGTTCCTACGCCCAGCAATGGAGGGCAAGAGAGTACCCGGCAAGGTTGAGATTCACCAGAACGGTATCCGCTACACTTCGCCGCTCCATGGCAGCCAGAGGGTGGACGTTCTCTTCTCCAACGTCCGACACCTCTTCTTCCAGCCCTGCCAGCACGAGCTCATCGTCATCATCCACATCCATCTCAAAGACCCCATCGTCTACAGTAACAAGAAGAAGACGAAGGACATTCAGTTCTACCGCGAAGCGACCGACATCCAGTTCGACGAGACTGGCAACAGGAAACGTAAGTACAGGTACGGCGATGAGGACGAGTTCGAGCAAGAACAGGAGGAGCGCCGTAGGAGAGCGGAGCTCGATCGCCTCTTCCAAGGCTTTGCGCAAAAGATTGCCGAAGCTGGTAAAAACGAAGGCATCGAGGTCGACATGCCGCTGCGAGACCTTGGGTTCCACGGCGTACCGTTCCGCAGCAACGTTTTCATTCAGCCCACTACAGACTGTCTGATCCAGGTCGTGGAACCCCCCTTCATGGTCCTCACACTCGACGATATCGAGATCTGCCACCTGGAACGTGTGCAGTTCGGTTTGAAGAACTTTGATATGGTCTTTGTCTTCAAGGACTTCTCGAGGGCCCCATACCACGTCAACACGATTCCTGTCGACTTCCTTGATGCCGTCAAGGAGTTCCTCGACTCGTCTGACATTGCCTACTCGGAAGGTCCTCTCAACCCTGAACTGGCCTACCATTATGAAAGACAGTCACGGCCGACACGCACCAGTTCTTCATCGACGGCGGTTGGTCCTTCCTGCAGGCTGAGTCTGACGACGAGGACGGCGGTGAGGAGTCGGAGGAGAGCAACTTTGAGATTGACGACGACGAGCTTGACGAAGCATCCGAATCGAGCGAAGAGGACTCGGACTTTGGCTCGAATGCCTCTGACGAGGATGACGCAGACATGAGTGATGAGGACGAGGGCGAGGACTGGGATGAGCTCGAGGCCAAGGCCAAGAAGCGAGATCGCGAGAGCGCTCTCGAGGAAGACGAGGGTCGCAACAAGAAGAAGCGCAAGCACTGAGAGGCTGTGCGTGTGCGTTGCTGGCGCGTTGGAGCAGGGGTTTGCGCCGGATTATAGTCCTCCGTTGCCGGCACGAGGCTGGTCGGGTGTGTTAATAGGCCCCGCGAATTGTGCTTTCTTGGCAAATGGACTTGGCAAATGGAAATGAAGGGAGAAACAGAGACCGGGAAGATGTTTTCCTTACCTCGCGTTGTATCAAAAAAATTGTACCTCTTGCGGAATCGTTTTCTGTATCGAACGAGACCTCGCTGGTTTTTGGGCTCGCGGGGGAGGAGCTAGCTGTCTCGAGAATTCGTCTATACGCTGGCGAAGCGGGGGGGGGGGGGGGTTGCTTTGAAAACCAAGGGAATTGATTGTTAGCTGAATCGATTGACCATTTAATGGCACGCATGAACTCGGACGAGCAAATGCAAACACCTTTACGACGTGATGGAGACGATTCTGCCGTCTAGCCAGCACATGGGTAATACGACCTGTTTGATCGAAGGCCAGGAAACCTCATCACGGGCTGTCTTCGAGGGAGACTTAGCACTTCACACTCATAGTCCAAGTAACATAGCATGCCCACGGCAACCTCAGCTCAGCATCACTAATTCGTCTTGAAGCGGAAAAAGAAGAAGTGGGGAAAACTTTCTATTCATCACTACGCCGTCGAACGCCAGGCCCAAGCAGGTCCAAGGGGCAAAAGGCTACCTGCATCTTCCAATCTGCTACCTGTGCCCCCCGTCCTGCCAGGCCACCGAACCAGATGGAGAAAAAGGTAAAACTGAATTGAAGGCCTAGTCCGCCCAACAACCAAGCTGCAAAAAGAGCTAGAGAAGCAAGGAGAAACCGAACCAGCAAGGCAAACCGAAGACGTAAACCCTCGAATAAAAATAAATTGAAGGTGACGGCGGGAGGGAAGAAGTCATCATACACTGTCATTTCGTCGGTACTGTCCTCCACGAAATCAAGGCCCCGTAGCAGCACCGCTGCAGCACCAGCTGCGAGAACATCATGTCCGCGGCAAGAACGACAGCGGCGACGCGCGGCGTCGACCTGCGGCCGCGCTGGCCAGGGAGGCGACGCTGTGTGAGGGTCCGCTCGAGGCGAGGGAGACGAGTCTGCGCTGGGACTCTTCGCGCGCCTCCTAGGCCTCGCCAGGTCGAAGGTCACGGCCGGAGGCCATGGCGCCGCTGGACCCGCCGAGCACACCGCCAGTGGCAGGACCCTTCTGAGAGGCGGGAGCATTGTTCCAGGAGAGGTATGTATGGTCTCCGAGCTTTCTACAAGGGAGGGTTAGATAACATGGCAACACTGGAACAGCTCAGTTGCTTCGGGGGGGGGGGCTACCTTGGCTTCAAGAGATGAGTGACGGTGAAGACACCACCGAGAACAATACACAGGCCACCGACGACCACGTATGCGATTCCAAGGAAGTTGTTACGGCCACCCATGACGGTACGAGTGGAGATGACGATGGACTTGGAGCCCTTGTATGCCTTGGTTGGGAAATCTGCGCCCACATGTTAGTTTCTCTGACGTCCCATACCAACATTGGCTCGAACAAATGACTGACTGTCGGTGATGTTAACCTGGTAGGTTCCGGCTCGCATGGGCTCGTCGTCATTGCGCTGATACAGCTTGCTGAACTCAGGTAGACCGGCTGTACGCATCCAGACCTGGAAAGCCTGCCACTCGCTCAAGTCGGGAGGGGGGTTCTGTTCGGTGTACTTGGGGTATGTTTTACGCCAGTTGGGAGGCGGCATGATGGTCGAGGGGTCGTACTTGGTGTTGCCATAGAGGTCCCTGTCGGAGGCCCAAGCAATCCTGCTGTCGTCCTTCATTTCGTAGATGGCGCTGTCGTCATTGGAGCCTTGGGGATTCTGCTGCAGAGGCGAAGTGAACGTGTCGTTGAACATGGAGTTGGCGATGAGGCCGCATGGATAGATAGGCAGTCCATTGTCCCGGTCAAAGGCAACCTCTTTGGTGCTACCACAGTCGGAGCCGTTGATCGAGTTGGAGCTCTGAGCATCGCCTTTCAGCTGATCGGCGTAGAAGGACGAGACATATCGACGATGGTTCTGATAGAAATTGGTGAGATGGTAGTAGAAGAGCACAGGCGGGCCCATGTCCTCTGGAATGGTGAATTCGACGGTACAGATGGTGCCTGAGTAGTTTTGACCGCGGGCTGGTTGCACGTTGACGTCCTCGTATTTCCTCCATCGGGCAACCTTGGTATCGTTACCGCCCTTGAAGGCATTAGAGATGTGTTTGGAGGGCATGGTATCAAAGTCGCTCGTCGGCGCATCGTTGAGACAGTCTGAGTAGTCAATCCGGATTTCCTGGACCTGTGTATCCCATTTGTCAGTAATGGTTGCGACCGGAAGCCGCGGGGTTCTCAAGCAGAGGATCGTACCTCGGAGCTGGCGTAGAGCAGCAGGCCTCCAATGGGAGCGAAAATGATGCCGATAGTGAAAAACAGGGGGAGCACCGTCTTGGGTGTCAGGATGGGCCTGGAGGGTGTTGTTGGTCAGTATCGTCGTGGAAAGTCGAAGCGCATCCATGTTCATCGCCTTGGTGGAAAGGGTGGACTCACTGCCATGCCTTCAACCGCTGTTGCCGAAACGCAGTGTCTAAATACCAAGCAGAAATATCAGCATCCTGTCGCCCTGCCTAGATTGGGTCTGGCAGCCACTCGATTCCACCGCCGACACATGTCCGGAGCTTCCACGTACTTGCGGGACGGCGACTCTTCTTCTTGTCCGAGTTCTTGTCATTCGAATCGTGCGACCGGATCGAGTCGGCCTGACCCACACCGGATGGTGATTCGGGCATAATGAAGGTGGTGGTTTTGCGCGACGCGCGCTTTGTGGTGGGAGGTAGGAAGCGTCGTTTCGATCACAAGCTTCGTCGTGGTCGCGAAGAAGATGCAATGTCAGGGTCGCAGCTGTCCACCCAGAGTCTCGAAATGTCCAGGTTGGCGGACCGGGCGGGTCCTCGAGTGCCAGGCGACGACTACAGTGGAGCGTCAGCACCCATCAGTATGCCGAAAAGGGGAGAGCCAGGACCAGGACCGCCTTACGTGAAGGGTAGGTAGACAGCGAAGGGGCGCCCAGGTGGTAACGGGGCGCGGGCGCAGGCGCAGGCGCGGTACGTACGTGGAAGTACCCAGGCCTCGCTCGATGTGGCGGAGCCAACCAAGCACAACGGCACAGGCTTCTGACGGCCCCTATCAAAAGCCCGGTGGTCCGTCGCTGACTGGCTGCCCCGCCAGGCAGTAGCATTCCTTCCCAAGTTGTGATGAACTGGCTCTCCAGTCCTCCCTCGCTTTCCTTCATCACACATCTCGTTATATTGCCATACCGATGAACATGTGATGTACGTACATCTTCACTAGTTCACGAAACGTAAAAAGAAAGCTGCTTAGGAGTAAGAACAAAAATAATTCCGAACCAGGGAATCGAACCCTGAGCCTGACGGTGAGAGCGTCAAATGTTAGCCATTACACCAGTTCGGATTGTTGAAAACAGTGTTTCCTATATCAAATAAAGTCTGTAGCAGCACTGGTCCTTCACTTCGCATCTCATCCGTGAATATCAAACGGGGTGAGCAGGATTCCATTGTTACCATTCCACTCCAAGTATACACAGTCTTTCGATCGCAGGCGCCCGTCCAAAAGTCAGTGTGACACGAGAACACAACAAATGTTCCTCAATGCTTCTGACCGACTGAGCCCCCTTTTCTGTCAGTTTGACCCAGATTTGATCCATGTTAGTACAGTTGAGTTGGTCGCCGACGACAGTCCCAGGACTTGCAGCGCCTGATTGCAGGTCGTTGGATTGCTGGGAACTCGTTGCATCCTCAGCGGGCAGAAGAAGCTGTTTCCATGCGTCAAGACTCCACATCAGTTTGCCCTTCTCGATGCAGCCTGTTTCATCCACCAACGTGCCCATGATCCGAGGGTTGAAAGACAGATGCTGAGGGGACCGGCAGTGTTGGCACGTAGCCATGCTGATGTTGGCATAAAGGGGCACTCCACAACTAGGCCAGCCGTCAGTTGATCGGGAACTAAGGCTTGGAAGGGTAGGAGCGAAAGACGTCCGTTCATACCATTCAGTACAGCAGAGCATCTTTCTCTGCCACAAACTGGTCAATTCCATATCCACAATGACGAGACTGAGTTTGCCAGTAAACTTCAAATAAGGATCGCTGCGGACAAATTCGTCCACCGCAGCAACAGTGAACAAGGCACGGATGGGGCCATTGACAGCTTCCTCCGCATTCCACACGTTGTCCGGGAATCCTATACACACAGCCTCTTTCTTCAGTCGGTTCTTTGCCCATCTTCGAAGCCAGTCGGCATCGGGGCCTCGGGGCTCTACGTCAACCAACGTAGCGTTGTCGATGCTGATAGTGATCTGACCACCGCTACCGCGACGGTCCTGCTGCTTGGGGTTCACGATGAGCAGAATAGTCTTGTTTGGTGTCCATGCTCGAGCCGAGTTGATTTTGTCCTCCCATAAAGTGAAGACACTACTCCCGGTATTGTCGCACACAATTACCTCTGTGAGTTCGAGGAACTCGTCTCTTCCAGCCTTCTTCACCTGCCGGCGCCTACCAACGCTGCTGACGCAAACAAGAAGCATGACGCCACGGACGGCGTCGTGCCCAGTCTTAGCGTAAGTACCAAGCGTCATCAGGTCAGGAAGAGGTCTCAGGGGTTCATCTGAAAGTCCGGACCCTAATGGGACTCGATGAAGCATGTCATTCTCGCTTGTGTCCTCGAAAAACTGGATGAATTGCTTCGTTCCCCGCTCAGGATTGACACTGGTGCAGCTCGTCATGTAAGGGATGGTGCAGGGAGTCGACGAAGGGGCTCCAATGTATGTGGCCCAGACAGTAACGAGCCTGCCAAGGACGAGCGTGGCGACGGGTATGCCAATCGGCGTCAGCTTGACCTGCGATCAGAACCAGTTACCGACCTGCACCATAAGTCACAAGAGTGGCGCTGCTGCAAAACTCACACCAAGAACGCCAGTGTCATCTTTGATGGCGAGAAAGTACCATGGCCTTGAGTATTGGCCCCCTTTCTTGTCCACCTCTGAGGGCCTGTAGTTGACGATGCGACCCGAAAAAGAGATGTTTCCCGCCCCGGGAACGATGTCAGTAATCGAGACTTCCCTGTATGTGACGGTCGGGCTCCAGGCTCGAGCCAGAGGGCTAGTGGGTGCGTCAAGTTCTTCCTGTGTGAACCCGTCAGGGTGTGGCACTTTGGCAGGGTTTGCACAGCCTAACATCGCAATAGGCTTGGTGAAAAAC